GGGGGGGGGGGGGGGGGGGGGGGGGGGGGGGGGGGGGGGGGGGGGGGGGGCACCGGTTCGCACGTGCTCGGCCAAACGTACTGTGTCGGCAACATGGACCACAGGGTGTTGATAGCGTATCTTATCCAAATAGGATACGCTGTGGCAGAGGCTGAGAGCTAGGCTCAGGCTGAATGCCTGACTACTGCTTGCATCGCTAACATTGAGCACAGGGTTTGTTTTTTTTGTTTTTTTGTTTGTTTTTCTCCCATCATTGGACTCTGTCGTCTGCCCCTCTGGCCCCTATCCTCCACTTCTACTAGCTAGACGACCCAACCGGGGTCACATAGGAGGGGGGGGTTGGACCCCCTCCTGCGGTTCATGCCTGAGGTATTTTTATCGCGAGAAGGGTACAGCAATCCCTTCCCTCGCGACTTACGAAGTCGATTATGGTTTACTAACAAACGAGCTTTGCAGCGCGTCGCTTTCATCCTAGACCAGGATTTATTTGGTGAGAAAAAAACTCTCTCTGTCGGGACTCGAACCCATGACCTGGTCCTTAGCAGGCTGCGAGGCTACCCACTAGGGTGTCGATAGCGCATCATATCGAAACAGGATGCGGTGCGGCAGAGGCTGAAAGTTAGGCTCAGGCTGAACGCCTGACTGTGTCGCCAATGTTGAGCACAGGATGTTGATACAGCGGCGTATCATATCCAAAAAGGATTTGGTGTGGCGCCCGCAGCTGACCCCGTCGAAAAACAACATCCGTATCATGTTTCTTCTTCGGCCTCGTTCCTGTTAGCAGCACGGTCCTCCACAACTAGTACGTGCATTGTTTTAGATCGTGGGGTGTGTGTGGTCGGGTGGGGGGGTTGTCTCAATTGTTGCTTGAGCACAGGCTTGAGGCAAACAGGCCGTGCATCTGTCCCACTCTCTGATGCAAGCACGTTCAAGCCGTCAGAGCTCTTTGGGGGATAACCAAATAACCCACATGGTAGACATTGGACACGCAAAGGGGGGTACACACATCGTGGAAACTGGTAAGCACGAGGGTGTGCGTGGTATTCAACATCATTTGACGTTTTCGGGAGGCCTCTTCCCCTCGAAGAAACTCTACTACAGGGTCTGCACCGACCGNGGGGGGGGGGGGGGGGATAGATGAACATACCTGGCACGGGACCCCCCTCTCCTCGAGATCCTTCGCCGTCTGGTCTGACATGCGGACGTTTGTGGTTCCGATCAGGACCGGCCTCCCGTCCTTGTGGAGCCTCTCCACCTCATTGAGCATGGCCGCGTTAGCACCCTCGCGGTTGCGGAAGACGACGTCGGGGTAGTCTCTCCTCGCAATCGGCAGGGCCGTAGGGATCTTGAGGACATGCAACAAAAGGGAGGTGGGGTGGCCGTATGAGGTCTTGCTGCGGGCTCGGGACTATGGGTTCAGGATTTGGGCTGGGGGGTTTGATTTACGAAAGGGGGAAATGCTTAGACTAAGGTTGAGGGCACGAAAACAAGGCAACACACAGCAGCAACCGTCTAGTCTGATGTTGGATTCGGTTGCGAAACGGTAAACTGGTTCAAGGTCGAAACGCACAGAAAAACACAGCACCCGTCTTCGCGTTCTAATGGTTTGATTCCGACTCCTAAAGCAGCAAGTTGCTCAAATACCAACGCAAGTCGAACGACCACACACAGATAACAAACACTTGGCCTAATGTGTAATGGTTTCCGGTGTTCAAAAGAGAGAGTTGCTCGGAGGTCAAAAAGTAACTCAACGCACAAAAAACAAAAAGAAACGCGCCCACCTGGACCACTTGCAAGCCGTAGGTGGTGCCGAGCTCGTTCGCGTCGGTCATGGCGGTACCCGTCATGCCGCACAGCTTGGGGAAGCTCCGGAAAAGCGCCTGATAGGTGACCTGCGCCATCACCTGGCTCTGCTTCGATACGGTGATCCCTGTCCCAAGAGAGAAAAACCCAAAAGAAGGGTTTCAAATACAGCAACAAGTGGGTTCTGTATAGTGCTGGCATGTGTCCAGAGACTTTGCCGGCACCATCCCAGACACCGGAACTATTCCGAGTATCGCACGACTTGGTTTTTCAATGTGTGGGGAAAACAAGGATTCCATATATAGCAAAAAGTGGATTCTGTGTATAGTGCCGGTATGTGTCCAGAGACTTTGCCGGCACCATCCCAGACACCGGAATTAATCCGAGTATCGCACGACTTGGTGTTTCAATGTGTGGGGAAAACAAGGATTCCATGTATAGCCAAAAGTGGATTCTGTGTATAGTGCCGGTATGTGTCCAGAGACTTTGCCGGCACCATCCCAGACACCGGAATTAATCCGAGTATCGCACGACTTGGTGTTTCAATGTGTGGGGAAAACAAGGATTCCATGTATAGCCAAAAGTGGATTCTGTGTATAGTGCCGGTATGTGTCCAGAGACTTTGCCGGCACCATCCCAGACACCGGAACTAATCCGAGTATCGCACGACTTGGTATTTCAATGTGTGGGAAAAACAAGGATTCCATATACAGCAAAAAGTTGATTCTGTGTATAGTGCCGGTATGTGTCCAGAGGCTTTACCGGCACCATCCCAGACACCGGAACTATTCCAAGTACAGCACGACTTGGTATTTCAATGTGTGGGAAAAACAAGGATTCCATATACAGAGAAAAGTGGGTTCTGTATAGTGCCGGCATGTGTCCAGAGGCTTTACCGGCACCATCCCAGACACCGGCACTATTCCAAGTACAGCACGACTTGGTATTTCAATGTGTGGGGAAAACAAGGATTCCGTATACAGCAAAAAGTGGGTTCTGTATAGTGCCGGCATGTGTCCAGAGGCTTTACCGGCACCATCCCAGACACCGGAACTATTCCAAGTACAGCACGACTTGGTATTTCAATGTGTGGGGAAAACAAGGATTCCATATACATCCATATACAGCAAAAAGTGGATTCTGTATATAGAGCCGGCATGTGTCCAGAGGCTTTACCGGCACCATCCCAGACACCGGCACTATTCCAAGTACAGCACGACTTGGTATTTCAATGTGTGGGTAAAACAAGGATGTCATACAGCGAAAAATGGATTCTGTATAGTGCCGGTATGTGTCCAGAGGCTTTACCGGCACCATCCCAGACACCGGCACTATTCAGAGTACAGCACGACTTGGTATTTCCGTGTGTGCGAGCCGAAAATACCCGCAATATACCGGGCACCCGGCACTATTTGACCTGCACTACACCGGTCCAGCTACTGCACTTCATTCGGGTTCGGACAAGTTTGTTTAGGGTAAGGATTATGGTTCTGGCAATCTAGCTTACCTAGGTCCCTTGCGCCATGACCTCTTTATAGCTGTCTTTCGGAATAGTAGCGATCCCTTTCCAAGAGAGAATGTGCAAGGCTAAGGCTAAGGGTGATGAGGATTGGGGATAGGATTGCTCTGAGAGGGAGAAGAACAGCGCCGTCTCTCAGGCCGTAAAAAAAATGGCCGTGTTCTCATCAAGGTGGTCAGCCTAGACCCATCCACCGATGCCAAACTCAACCAAACCCTAGCCCTGCGGCGACACGGGCACCTAGGCACTACTCAAGACAATGAGAAAGCCTTCAACATTCCATTCATGCGAAGCGATTTCACCGGGCAGTGGCGCTTCTATTCCGGGCAGCGGCACCACCAGTCTTCCGTGTAATCGACAACCACCCACAGAGCCACCACAATAGCAGATGGGCGAGACTGAACGAGTGAGTGAGTGAGTGACTGACTGACCTTCCTTCGCCTCAATGCACTGGTGAAGGCCGTCGCTGTACCTCCGTCCCTCTAACACTCTGCCGCTGAACGTGTCCACGATGAGAACTTCCTTGTCGCGGACGATGTACTCCTGGAGTAAAATCAATCATTCAGTCAGTCATTAAGTGTTCAGTTTGTCGTTCAGTCAAATCAGTCTGTCAGTCAGTCAGTCAAATCAGCCGGAAGTGTGCGGGCAACCAGCACACGATTCGAGATAGAGGGGGGCAAGAGAGATACAGAGAGATACAGAGAGAGGGACAGAGGGAGAGAGAGGCAGACATACACACAGACACACAGACAGCCGCAGAAAGAGGCGGGTGAGAGAAAGGCAGAAAAAGCGATAGGATAGAAATAGAGATCTACAGAGACAGACAAGAGACAGACGAGAGAGACGTCAGAGAGTACGGCTCCTTCCCCGGCAAGCAATCACTCATCCAACTCGACGGTACCGTTGCACGTGCTGAGAGGGTGCGACAACAGCAACCCACAGACAGAAGCGGTACAAATGCACACAAACACTCGTTCCAAACGATCGACCTCGGCCTCAAGGGAGGTGCCATCGCCCTTTCGACAACGAAACGGCTTCGAAACGGTTAGTCGACGACAACACACACTTGCGTTTGCTACCAGCGAGGCAGTTAACGTTGACCACCGTATATGACACAAGATAACACACCCCCTAGACCGATTTTCAAAGCTCGATTACTCCACGACGAAGAGGATGCATAAACGAAACGATAAATTTTCGAAAAGCTATCGACGAGACGATTTCAATGCCCCCGTTTTCGGCGCTGTGACTGTTCCTGCAGTTGAGAAATCGAGCTTCGGAAATCGGTCAAGAGGGTGTGTTATCTTGTGTCATACACGGTATATCCTTGCGAATAGCTCTTTGATGCTGTCGCCATTGGTGCAACAACAACGAAAAAAAACACGCAATGGCAGCAAGGAAATGTATGCCCAGATTGTCTGAAACATGGAAACATGCATTCCTCAGCAGGGAAATAGTTGTCGAAATGGGGGTGCAGTAGTCGAGAACGTCCCGGCCGAACCATAAAGCGGCGTGAATTGTCGTCGTCAGGGTGGTGAACCCATCCGCAGATAACAACCGCAAACGTCGGCGGCGGGACAAAATTAGCGATCCTTATCATAGTATCAGGAGGGATTTGGTCGCTACATTCAGGGGCAGGTCGTCATTGCCGGCATGTAGCGACTAGTCTTGCAGTCGGGCCGCAGCGGTGCCATACGGTCGCTACACGAGGCTCGCCGCTAGAAGGGGGCATGTCGTTACACTGGGCCCACCATCGTCAATTTACCTTGTCCCGGGTGAATATCTCCTTAGCCTTGACGGAGTTGATGATGAAAGGCGCCCACGGGTCCCTGGGGTCGAACATGGACTTGCCCAGGATGCGGTCGCAGTCGTCGTAGCCCTTGTCAGTCAAGACCACCGACTGCTCCTTCTCAGATACCTGCACAACAACATTAACCATAACAAAAACAGTAACAGCAACAACAACCAACAGGAAGAAACACACGAAGACGAGGTTTTCCATCAAGCACTTGAGGGTACAAAGAACAAGCGGGTCTTTCACGCTTACTCTGCTTGCGCAGAAACACTTGCATCCCGCCGACCACATCCCTTACACCCCCCTCCCCGATCATCTCAACCTTCAAATCATTGAAACGTTGAATACAATGAGGTAACATAAAACATTGCATTGCGCAATTTAACGAACACGAAAGATCACATGCCTGACATGAATCTAGATCTGGGGCGATTTTATCACACGTGTTTAACACTTTTATTTTCGTATGCCTTTTTCTTGGGCAAGTTAGTCTGTGACCACGGGAATCGACCCCGTCAATTGTTAGACCAGTACGGGCAGAAGGAGGTACAGAGAGAACGGAAAGTTTGTTAATGTGAAGACAACAACGACAAAAAGCGAAGTAAACCCACCCACACGTGAAACTAACCGTCCTACAGTAGAGTGACACTAACCGTGTAGCGTCCTACTAATCGTACCATGTAGTGGTCACATTAACCGTACAGAGCAATGTCACACTAACCGTACCGTGTAGCGTCACACGAACCGTACCGTCTAACCGTACCGTGTGGCGTCACACTAACCGTACCGTGTAGCGTCACACAAACCGTACCGTGTAGTGGACACCCTTCTCCAACACGCTGGCGATCTTCTGGGAAGTGGCGAACTTCTGGGCGGGGGCGTCGACACTCCTGGAAATGATGAGAGGCGTTCGCGCCTCGTCGATGAGGATGGAGTCGGCTTCGTCCACCAGACAGAAGAAGAAGTCCTTCGTTTGCACCTTTCCTGGATAGCGAGGATTGATGGTTGGGTCAAGAGATGGGGATGCCGTCAAAGAGAGAAGACGAGAGAGAGAGAGGGAGGGAGAGAGAGAGAGAGAGAGAGAGAGAGAGAGAGAGAGAGAGAGAGAGAGATAACCTAGGGATGCGGACATACAGAGGAAACTTTGACTCGTCATCCTCCCAAGACGGGAAAGGATCAACCCAAGCTACACACCGCCACACAACGTTGGACCCTTCGCCCTCCCCCCTCCAAAAAAAAAAACAAAACCACCCACAGGGCCAACCAACCAAAACACATCCCCTATCCCCGTCCACAAACACACCGTCTTTGGTAACCGTGAGGTGGTCTCGAAGGTAGTCGAACCCGAGCTCCTGGTTGGTGGCATAGGTGACGTCACAGGAGTAGGCCTCCTTTCTCTGGGCCTCCGGCATCGTTGATTGGATCAGCCCCACGCTAAGCCCTAGGAATCGGTGGACCTGCAGCATTGTTTTTTTTTGCTTTATTGTTAGACGATAGATTTTTCATTTAACGGCTGTGTCGTGTGGAGATAGTTCCCCTTCATGAAGGGCACAACAATCTCCCAACCTCTGTTGAGGATGATTCCCTACTTTCACAGTCAAAAGGTATCGAAGTATCTTTATAGAGGATGATTCCCGCTGTTTACAGTCATCAGTACCGAAACATCTTCAAATCTGCACGGAAGATAATACCTTACGGAAGATAATCCCTTTGTACCAGGATATCGACCCCCTGTACGCACAAACCATGGACCCATCCGAATTCCCACGAAAGAAAAAAAATCTTGAGAGAGAGGAAGGGGGGGGGGGGGGGG